GATAAAGCTATTGAAAGTGTTGCAAACTTGGTAGGGGCACGACATTTACAATGATAGTCACGCGGTCCATTTTGTTTCTATACTGCATGTTTCATTTTATGTTCTTGTGTCGTAATGCTACAGCATCGCTTGATAGGTTTAAAACTAGCTAAATATAGATTACTGTTAAGCGGCACTTAAACGCGCACTTTTAAACATTAAATTGTACGTATAATGTCTGCGCAATACTATGTGCATGTTATGTGTAATATTTGATGTGAATTAGTTGATGCTGTTAATAAACAAACGCAATGAATAAGATAAATTTGTAATTTATAAGAAAATTATATCGCTACTGTTTATTATATCATTATTTTCCCAATAAACAAGCTGCCGTTATTTATCGTCATTTTAATATCAAAATGACGATAAATAATTTCAGCTTATTTTTGCTGAATTGTATATGACAATATTAATAGAAGGTATAAATAAAATTTTAATTGTTGTAATTAAGTAACATGAGCGTGGCTATAAGAGAAAGCATTTAGGACGCCAAGGCTTCCTGAATATTACAGAAAAACGTAAATAATAACAAAAAAATACACTTACGGGGAAAAACCCTATTTGTTTATAAATGAATTGCCTAGTGTCACGTCCCGCGACAAATACCGTTACAAATTTTTTTTTATTACGGAGTTTTTGCAATACTGTTTATCCCAGATACGATGAACGCTAAAGTCACGTTATCCTTTTCTTAATTAGGTGTGAAGAAAAAGATAACATGACTTTAGCTTTCACCGTATCTGGGATAAACGATATTGCAAAAACTCCCTATTATTATATATAAAATTCACTGTAACACTACGCGACCATCTAACCTTTACTTAAGTGCGTATCGTGCGTATTTAAACCCATCTTTTTCTTGGCTCGTACTTGAACTCATTAGCATATGCTCACGCATAGCCGCATCTTCAAGCTGCAACCCCATTGGCCATTACGCTTACAAACCTGACCAATCTTCACAACTCCTCTAGGCCTAACGGAATGTGAACATTTCCTCCAATCACAACTCAGTATTTCTCTTACTATCGCGACCACCTAAATATCAACCAATCAAGATCCTAGAAATCAATCTTCCATTTCGTGACCATCTTCTAACTCCCTATTTAACAGACTTTCCTTACGAACAGTTTATAAACCACCTTTTGCATACCTTAAGCCTAACCCACATGTCTTAATACTCGCATCCGAAATCTTTAGTCCCCCATTGACCCATGTTGCATCCCCGTAACATACTATTTTTATGAAACCTTAATCAAACTCTATCAAATTCGCAAACAGAATAAAACATTTAAACTTAGATTTTTATTCTCATTCTTACTCAACCATAATCCTACCGCTTTCAACCCTGCGACGAATTCAATACGATAATTACACAAACCCTAAGACATTGCTATGAAATATTATAATATTCTTTTATTCCTTTAAAATTCTGAACTTAAATCGAAATCCCATCACTACAATGTAATATCGATCCACCGCAATACGCTATAATATTGTAAGCAACGAGAAAGATATTTATTCGACAATTAGACTTGCTACTCTTTATCAATCATTATGTACAACTGATCAGGCAGCAGCCACTCAGATAAAGCACCTCTAATTCCTGTAAAACACTAAATTATTAACCCCAATGACGATAATTATATTCTTTTCAATTTTCATATAAATATCATTCTCATATGAATCGACGATAGTAGAATAAGTTAGCTACATACGAAACCATGATTCACCGCAGCTGACCTAGAAAATCACGCCATACTAATTATGCCTATAAATAGAAATGACCTAATGTATCAGCTTGCGAACATTACCAAATAAGGAGCGAAGCTTGCGCCTCCCCCACTATTCGACCGATCATCCGATTTTAATATTGCCATATAAGGTCGTGAAGATGACCCCTCCAAGACAATAACCCTTATGAGTCACTTCACATTGTTCGTAACAATATAAAAGCAGCCACCCTCACCGTAGAAACGCCCCTTTTTTCCATACGAAGTTCAGAGAGATTCTTGGATGATCAACTTTCTAGTTTAACTCTTAGTCTTCGCGTCAGTCAATTGAAGCTTTCGGTTT